TGTTCTGACATATGCTTCTGAGATTTTAAAACTGACAGTGTAGATTAATTTAGTAATATGCCCTAAAAAACTGCATTTTCCTAGTCACAGTAAACTACACACTAGAGTATAGCAAACGTCTCTTACACCCCCTAATAGAAGCACACTTTGCAGTGTGAATCTCAGGTTTGACATGCTGTCTGTGATTATCATTGTCTTGGCCTAACATCTCTGTCACTATAACTTTTTCAGTCACTGCCTAAAGTTTGATTCTCCTTGAAAATGTAGGTAGAGTGCAAAACACAGGTCGCAACTGTTAGCTATTTAGAAAGCTTTCGAGGTTCCAACACTGCTCACCGGGAAACAGACAGATGCACGTGATTCATTGTCCCACATCTACACACACAGACAGATACACAAACAAACACACACCCGCACACACACACTCTGACTCATAACTTGCTGTGTTTTTAGCCATAGGGAAGTCCTTTATCCACATAACTAGATTAACTCACAGTGAGCACTGATCAGCTTAATTTGGATTCAGCCTACTTAGCCTTCCCTGGTCTGCCTGTCAGTCTGCCTTCATGTTCATCTATCATTCTGTGTGTTTGAATGACAAAGTATTTGTCTACATGTCTCTCTGTCACTTTATTTACACGCCTCTCTCTGTCTAGTCTTTAACAAGGATTATATTTGCAGCAGTTTTTAGCTTTTTTAACTCCGTTCTCACTTACAAACTTATTTCAGCCTTATTTCTAGTTTTTTTTCTTATTCTTTCCATTTATTTTTTTATTTTTTGCTTTTAATGAATAACACCCTGACAAGGATTGATGAATATAGTGTAGCTTTTACTTTTCCCCCAAAATGAATGCAATTTGCTCTAGAGTCTTGTTTTTTTTTCCCTTTTTAAACCAAATGTAATGAACTCATTCTGCCTCTGTCTTGGCAGGATGTCAATGCAATATATTGACCACATTAGTCTCTCAGTGTTTTTGGATTGCAGAATCTCTAGGATGTCCCCAGGGACTCATTGACAGCAAACATACAGATATATGTTTAAAAAAAAAAAGAGAGAGAATTTGATCACCATTAAGTCAACCATTACACAAAAATGTGATACGTCTCTCATTACATTGGTTTACAAGTCACAGTAAATGTTATATTTGTACACAGATAATTTGTGCTGTCCAATCAGTCACTCTGTTAGGTAGAGGAAGAGAACTCACAGAGTGAACATGGATATTACATATCACCAGAGAAAAAAACAACAAGACCAAAGAGTTCATAATATGGCAGAATTGTAGATTATAAAAATCTATTCAAATGCCATGTAGCCCCACAAAAATACTTTTTGACTAATAGTTAAACTGTTATTTTTTTTGTTATTTTCAGGACTGTTATCTTGACCTCACTTCCACAACCTCGAGTTTCCTCAGTGCTTAAGTTGGCTGTCAGGTAGTGCTAGTTTTTGGAGTTTTGGTCCTGAAAAAATAACTTCTGACAACATTCAGAAAATATTGTCATCTATTATTTATTCTATGTGGTTGCAACCCCCACTCCAGAGAAGTTTGTTTTGTAATCTTTTTTTTTCTTTAGTTTTTCAGATTCACCTTACCGCATAATTAACCTAAGGCCACAATCACTCAGGTCACTCAGGTCTAGAGACTGGTTGGCAACCCCCTAGGACCCCACAGGTTGTTTTTACTTTGAGTGTAAACAGTCTCTTTTTCATAGTTTCAGTAGTACTCTGTAGTTAGTGAGTGCTTGTGGACAAAGCAGCATCTTCCATGCAAATTGCAACTGTGGAAATTTGTTAGCAACCAGAACATTCACAAAGAGGTTTTCAGTGCAGTTCTCTATACCTCTTTGTGACCAATTACACCTGACCAGGGGGTAGCCAACTGGTCTCTAGAAATGTGTGACTGGGGCTTGTTCTTATGACAGAGGTTACACTGCATTTTTTCATGTTCATTAACTTTAGTTTCACTGCATATTCTCCCCCTTGTCATCCTCACTTTCTGCAGTGTCTCTGTGTCTTCTCAGATTGAGATGCTACTTTATGGCAATAATAATAAGCCTTGTTTGTTACTGAGGTCTGAAGCAGAAAGAAAACAACGTGGGGGCAAAGGCTCGAGAAAGTGATGGACACAAAATGGGAGAGGATGACGATAAGTAGACATGAAAAGTAGAATACTATGAAAGGCCAAAGGGAAGGTGGGGACAAGGAGTGTTACAGAAAGAATGAGATGCTGAGGAAAAGAAGAGGGAGACAAATAATAAGGGAGGGAAGGAAAGTGAGGATAAGTGAGGAATGGAGGAGAAGGTGGGGGCAGCAAAGAGGGAGCTGAGGAGGCGCTGGGCCTGGGGGATTGCTGTGCGTTTATCCTCCTCTGCAGCAGGCTTCTGAAGCACTACCTCAAGAAAAGACTTTAAAGCAGGGTGGCTACAGCTCTGTGCTGATCTGTTAATACCCACAGATACATGAGGCTTCGCCATAGTACTCTGGGGATGGGGTGGAGCGGGACAGTGTGTAGAAGTGTGCATGGGAGTTTGTGTGTGTGGTTTTTTTGTTACGTGTTCAAGGATCATATCATATCTCTGCAGACGATTTTCCATCCCCACCGTTAGCTTGCTCCAACTCACCCTGAGACATGAAGTTACCAGAGCGATTAAAAGATTAGATTGGGCTATCGTGTGGCTGTGTGTCACCTAAAGCTGGTGCTGCAAGGGTGGAGCTGGGAGGTGGGAGGTGTATGACTATTCTGTTTTAAGATCCTGTATAAATAGACTCCTGCCTCCCGGGAATCAGTGTAAAACACCCCCAGAGCCACAGCATGCAGCAGAAAATATACACACTGGTAGGTAAAAAAGCAGTATAGGATTTGGTATAGCTGCTTCTCAGAGGACAGCGTTCTGTGCTCTCGGGGAGTCCATGCGACTATACAAAAGAGGGCATGGTGTGATGATTAGAAGATGTAACGATCATTTTATTTTGGGGTTTTCCTCCTATTTCCTTTCTCATAATGTGAAAAATGGTTTAGATTCTTTTTCAGCACTCAATGAAACAGTGAAATGGTTAAAAAGTAAAACGTCTCATCACCATTCTAAACAACTAATTAAGATGCATACCCATGTTCACTGACTTATGTATTTTTTTTAAGTCAGGGGACTATAACGATGATATCTAAAATGATAAAAGTCCCTTCACAGAGGCAATTAGAGACGGAAAAAGGAGTGGATGGACAGAATGATAATAACAAACAAATAAAAAACAATGTAACAATCTCAAGCCCAGTGAGGATTCCGCATCATGCGGCTTTTGATCACGATAAGCTTCAGGATCTCAGCAAGGCCCAGTGCAACTGTTTAGCTGCAGTCTCCAAAAGATTCCTTTTGTTTTCTATACTTTGTTTGTGGTGAATAGATAAACGATCATGGTAGAAAATCAATGTCATGCCATTCACTTTTGCTTCAACTTTTTTTTTCCTTGAGTTCACATTCACTTGATCACAGCATTACTTTGTTTAGAGTCAAATTTCTGTAGGTATTTGTTAAACTGCTTTCTTTCTATCCGCGAGGGCCTCTTATCCACTTGATCAAAATACCCCTATTCTTAGCAGTCTATTAGAATGATATGGTTAACCAAGCATGTGATATATCCTACAATAGTCTTTAACGACGGTGTAAACACAAGTGGTACCGGGTCGCTGCTCTGTGGTACATGCACACAGAGCCTTTGCAGCTTGTGTGTAAATGTGCCCCCTTATGCATGAAATATCACAGTCCTTACAAAACATCTAATCTAATCAGATAGCCTTTTAATCTAATGGTTTAAAATACTAAGGCGGTATTGTTGATTCAGCATGTAGTAGCCTCAAAAATAATTGAACATTATTCAAGGTTAGCATTCTTCTCCAGGCTGATTTTGGATACAACTGATTCCCCTTTTCATATTGTGTCAGCCTTATCTGGCTACTCTGCCATTTGCAGTGATTAAAAGAGATTTAGGTTCCATTGTGAATTAAAAAAGGATACCGACAGAGTATACTATTTAAGCTGTGGCACAAAAAGGCTCTCTTCAACTTCAAGAGCTGGATAAAAATGTCTCACACACGATTAATATCTGGGAACATTCCCTCACCAAAGATTATTTCATAAATATCCTGCATAGTTTTTTGGAGCCCTTTACAGTATATAGCCATAAGGCACACCAAAGAATATCTGTCATGCTTCAATCAAACGAACATCTAACCAAGTCCTTGTGATTTCCATTGAAGTGCGACCTGATAAATTGTAAATACTCTTCTACCAAATTAAGAGGCCTAAATCCTGGAGGGTCATGTTGCTGACTGAGTCTGTGGCTTCTAATCTGAACATGCAGTTACAGGGCAACTGGGTATCAGGACAAAGTTTGTAGACTCCAGTTGCAAAGTAATTAATAGTTAAATACCTGTGTCACAGTCTCAAGGGTCCACTGCATCTTACCCTCAAGGTAAGAGTGGCAGACTCAGTCGTTGTGTAGGACAGGACTGTGCAATGGCTGCATCGGGGTGGGAGGATGTGGGGGTATGAGGGTATGCATGTGTGTGTGTAGGGATGGGCTTGGGGGGGCCATTGCAGATCTAAAGCAGGTAATTAAATGAAGTTCATAGACTTTACTCTTTCACTCTCCTATGTTTCTTGAAGTATCCCTCACTCTCTAACCTTGCACCTGAGATGAAGATGGCAGTTAATGATCTTTTTTAAAACCACTTTAGCGCCCGCTCTATAGCTCAGTCTTTACTCTCCAGACAGACCAAGGGTTTTTTTTTCTCATCTCCTTTTTCTCCTCCTTTTTCATCCTGGGCCCATACACCATTTTTCTCTGTTCCATTAGCAAATTGCCTCCCTCTCTTTCCTCCTCGTTTCCACCATCCCACCTGCCCCTAACACCCCCATTAAAAATCTAACTGGGGGATTAATTTATTTAAACTGGAACAAACAAAGAAATTCACTCTAGGGTATGTTTTATTTTTCAGAAGTCGAAGAGGAGACACGGTGTTCGAGACAGACTAATGTTAGATGGCATAATAAAGACAACCTGAAGGACCTGAGAGCCATCATTCGCTCAAAGTGTCAGCAAGGTCATCTGGCTGAGGGATGGTGAGTCTGTTATTTACATATGCCATGGGCAATGAGGTAATAAGGTCTGCTTAGTTTCTCCATTTTAGTAATTTTAAAAAGCGTTTAGACAACCATTAGCAAACTGACCAGCAATCTGTTTAATTTGCCTACCTATTATCTGCTTTAATGCTTGCATTGACCTGGTAATCTTGCACATATTTTTAAGACAATTAAATGAAGATGCTTACTGTACACCAGTGGCCTATACACCACTCCAAAGTATCAAACTATGTCACCACTGTAGGTAAGCTTAATCTCAACAAAAAAAAAAAGATTATTTCATATCATATGTCATATCATATTTGTATGTACAACAGTTTCGTTGCATTTAGTGTAACAAACATGTGATTATAATAACATTGAGAAAAAAAACCCAACTAAATAAGCAGTTTAAAAAAGATATGACTCAGCTCAGATGCCTCACATGCTGCTCCTTGCCTTAATATGTCTAGTCCTTAGTCAGGGTTTTGAATATCAGGGTTAATAACTCACTGAAGGATCCAATCCTCAAGATTACGTGTGTTTGATTTTGTTTACACCATCTGCCATCAGATGCAATTGAATGTACTGCATGGTATAATCTGATACATCCGGGGGTGATGTTTTGCGGCTGTTGTGTGCGTGTGTGTGCCTGTGTGTGTTTGTCGGCGTCTGTGCATTAGTGTGTGCAGTGTTACACAGCCCATAGCTATCCCTTAGGAATTGAAAATAGCCTGCAGATGTCCTGCAGGAATTTATCCCAGTCTTATTGTGAACAATGTTCTCCAAGTTAAAATTGACTTGTTATGGTGATATCACATGCATTTTACTGAGGCACTAAAAAATACTATGCATACGCAATAAAGTGCTTTGAGTCTGTGATCTTTTTCCTGTAAAAAAAAAATGAATCTCTCCTTTTTTAATTATTTTTTTTCTGTTTCCAGCTACAGTGTAACAGTGCTACTGTAACATGAAAAGTTGTTCTGGCTTTCAGAAGACATTGCCATGTCTTCCTATTAGTATTATTATATGATACTATATTGTACCTGTGCAAGCATTTACCACAGCAGTTATCAAAACAAAAACACTCATATTAATATTCAAATCCAAGTTTGCCATTTAGGTTAGTAAATGAGTTGGTATATAAGGGGTTAACCGATAGGCTCAAAGAATTTTGGTGAGGTTTAAGGGTGATGGGAAATACCGGCAATTAATGTGATTTCTTTTTAAAAGGGATAAGTCATTAGTATCAATTGGCCTTTTGTAACAGGAAATACAGACTGCTTAGTGAAAACTGCTCTTCCAGCAAAGAGTTCTTAATCTTTGTTAGAGACATTTTACTCAATAGGCTCACTGATTTTGTGGCAAGAGTTTGGTAAAAGACAATAATTGTTATAATTCTAATTTAAAATGCCTGAAACGAGGAAATGGGTTCGCTTAGCTGCTAATTAACACATCATATACTGATAACATAATCTTCACACGAAAAAAAAAGTGTGCATCATCATCTTGATGATCACCAAGACTTGTGAGAAAATAGATGATCTGACACAAATATTCAAAAATAAGAAAGCAGTAACGGGACAAAAGCGTCTTTAGAGCACAATAATCTGGTTCTTTTATTAAAACGTACAAGCTTATATACACAAGATGTTGTTGTAAAAGTAACTTTGACTTTCAAGGTGTATTCGGGACACATCTAGTCCCTGAGCTCACAGTTTTGGCACAATGTCTGTTAAATGCAAGCACAGATTAAAGATTATACTGTTGACAAAACTGAAAACATAATCTGTAGCTTAATTCAGTTCACTTTTGAATTCTGGGTCAGTTTTGATTGAATTCAGCAGCTGGTTTCTAAATGAGTGGAAACACAAAGCCCTTTTAAATTCCACGTCATTCCAGTTCATCACTCTTTCTAGTCCATAAAAATGGTGTCTAAGTCTTTTATAACACATGTACTTGGATCAATCTATCAGACCAAAATGACAGAAAATACATGACTTCTTACAAAAAAACGTGATATTATTATAACTGGTGACCATAACATTGAGCTACAGGGTTGTAATATTGCCCCGGAGAATAATATGCGTCTACATGAGGACATAGTTCAAAGAAAAATTTTAATGTCTCCAAATCCAGTGGTCCCTGACACTTTCCAAGTCATTTTCTTGTCTGAGCATGTTCATTTCCTGGTCCCTTTACATTAATGAGGCTACCGTGCCCACAGTGGATCTGCTTGTTTTTGACACTTTGGGTTTTGTACAGAGAAAACAAAATATTAAATATTAATTGTTGATTCATTGTTAAAATTCAAATGCTCATGGTTGATCCTTTTCATGATTGGACAGAGGCAGAGAGGCTCCTCTCTCGTTCCAGTGTTAATGCTAATGGAACTTTCCTGGCTCCAGTGGACAAGCATTAGCAGTATCAATCATTTCCACAAGATATTTGGCATGAATCCAGCACTGTGGAAGGAAAATGTGTTTCATGTGTTCATACACAAAATACAACAACAGCAAGTTCTTCAAAGATGTATCACAAGACATACAAAAAGAGGATGTTACATATGAATTATTGTCTTTTTTTTTCTTGACACCCCAGAGCATCTTCAGTTCAAAGAGGTAGACTAGTGATAAATATGTCACTGGTACCAAGCCAGGATAAGGCATTACTAGCTTTAAATCCCTCAGCACTGATGAAAAAAAGACTTACTGCACACACAGAGAAACTGGTACTTTCAGCAACACAAAGACCTTCACACACACATACACAAACTTATACTTTGACAATAAGTTGTCAAAATGAAAGTGACCTTTGTGGTCTAGTTTCACAGGACAGATGGCAGCCATCAGCACAACACAATGTGGTTGTATTGGAGCCCTCCCTCTTTTCCGCGTCTGTTTTCCGCGTATTTTATGTCCATGTTCATTATTGCAAGAAAACAAGGTCAAAACACAAAAGATCTGACTTTTTTTTTTAATCATTTTAAAGCAGCATTATTCATGCTGCAGTGATTGCGTTTATATGTTGGTCCACATTTCTATTTTAATTAGTCAGCTATTAATGTTTAACAGCAATTCAAATTTACATTTAATCTTAAGAAACAGTTTTGCTTTGCCCCTATTATATAATGGGAAAGGAAAGTGCTCTTTAGAGTGTTCCTCCAGCCCCTGCGGTTTAACAACTAAAGATTTGGATTAACTTCTTAAAATGAAAATATTACTCTTACGTCTGCATATCTAGGTTGGGGTTTTTAGGCATTTCCAAAATTTAAACTCTCTTACTGCACTAAAATTTGTAATATGCAAGATTTAACAATGTGTGAATTTTTATGTTTATGGATGAGTGCATGTCTATATTGGTTTTTCCCATTACAGTATTTATGCATACACTTTGTAGACTATCTGTAACTGTTTGCATATGATAGTGTGCTAGTCTCTCTGAGTTCATTTGCTCTAGCTTGTGTACTCACATACCTCCATATGTCTCATAATCCAGGAGACTGGCACACATCATAGCACTGGGAGCAAGGGAATTTAGAGCTGTTCTGCCACATTCATCCGTCTAAAGAAACAGACAGAGAGAACTTATGTGGCAGTGTTTAGCATATTACACAAAATAAAGAAAGAATTTGACTACGCACTGGGAACGGCTGCCTTACTGAATGAGGAATCAACTGTAGTGAAGATTCAAAGGGCCAATTTTACACTAGCTTATGAGAAAGGGAGTAAATAGAGGGATGCACGGTGCCTAGAGACTGCCAGATGTTACACAAGGGAATTCATCTGCAGCAAGAGTGACCATGGGTGGAATAGTTCTAAATTGGCTCTGAAAAATTGGGTCCTCACATACAAACAGATGAAGGGAATATTTGGGATAGAGTGCTTCATGAAAAATGGTTGTCAGTTTATTTCCTTGCATTTTTCATTTCTGCTGTTCTGTTATCAGCCGTTTTCCTGCCTCTTGTTAGGTTATGTAATAATGCTACAACAACACATGGCTACTTTTTATCCGGTCGTTAAGTGATGACGTGACGAATCCTACT